ACCCCACCCACCTCCCCCTTCTCTCAGGATCTCAGGGTCTGACCAGCCGCCACCCCGTGGAAGAGACTTAGGAGCCGAGGTGGAAGGTCTGGCCCGTGGGGAACATGGCAGCTATGGCTGCAAGAGAAACTGCTGTTTGAGGACAAAACACAACGGGGTGGAGCAAGCGTGCGGTGCGTGGTGCGCGTGTGTAGATGAGTGTGTGAGTGTGCGGTCGCGGTCCTTCAGAGCTGACCTGGCCAACTGAAGAGGGAGCCTCTTGGGGAGAACGGAGCGAGCGAGCGAGCGAGCGAGCCTTTCGCCAGCAGAGGGCAGCCGCCACCACGGCCTCCCAGAGGGAGTCAGCCAAAACCTCAGCCACAACCACCGCCCTGGCCTGGCCTGGCAACCGGCACATTTCTAACCCGCCTGGCTCAGCGGGCCTGTCCTCAGGCAGCCCGGGCACCTGTTTTAGCTCAGAAGTTGTCAAGATGGATCATCTCAGGTTCCCTTCTTGCCACCCCCTGCCTTTTCTTTCTTCTTAAAAGGTGTTTACTTTTGTTTTCAATCCTCACCCAAGGGTATGTTTTCATTGATTTTAGAGAGAGGAAGAGAGAGAGGAGAGGAACATTGACGTGAGAGAAAAACATCTATCAATTCCTCCTGTACGTGCCCTGCAACCTGGGCATGTGCCCTGACGGGGAGTCAAACCTGCCACCTTTTGGGGCACAGGAGCTCCCCTGAGCCGCCTGCCGGGGCACTGCCCCCGCTTTTTCTAAAGGCTGTCTGGCTTCGGAAGCTTCCTGCCCTGGATGAGACACATTCTGAGAAGTGAGGTGCCTGGCTCAATTCACGGGGGAGGGACCCCAAAACCAAGGAAGGGCTTGCGGGGGAGGAGGAAATGGGTGAGGGTGCTGGGCCATGGTCGTCAGCACCTCCACTCAACAGGTCTCCCGGGGGCAGGCGGGCCCCACAGGGGGAGGAGGAAGAGTAACCAGCATAAGGTGAGGGCTGCCGCTTGGCGCTGGTGTGGCCCCTCCCTGCCCTCCTG